TTCACTTGGATTACAGCTTCCATTATTTTTCCAGTAATGCTAGTTAAACTGATTGGCCTATAGTTTGCTTGATTCCTTCTATCCCCTTTTTTGAATATGGGTGTTATATTAGCACACAGAACCACCTTAAGATGTCACCATCCCAGGTAAGACCTTCACCGGCATCCCGGGGCGGATTCATGTACACAGGAAGATGCAAACCCAGTTCAGGCAAGTGCCAGCAGACAGGGCTGCATAGTATCACGTCCCGATTATATGCCACAAGCGCAATAATCTCTTCTTTTAAAGCATGATGTGCATGCTGAGCTGTCCCTTTCTTCACCGCTACCTCAGTGCTTATCGCTTCCATGGCGCGTGACGTACAGTAGCATGTGGCGCGCTCCGCTAACTGAATTTAATAGACATAAGGATACAGCAAATTTATAGAGACTACTGACTTTTGGGCGTCACAATGCACCAATAATAATATTTTAGCTGCACTACTAATCTGCTTATCAAATTGGGGCCGTAAGTAAACGTCTGCATTGTACCGAAAAGCCAGAGTCCGGACAAATGTTTACGCCCATCATATAAAGCCCTGGTGATTATTCAGCATGTGGAATATAATCACGACGCAGCCCTGACAGACACTGCTGGGGAAACTGGCAGCAGGGAACCGCCATAGTGATGCCAGTCACTCTACCAAAAGGAAGCGCATTGCCAGGTGCCCCCAGACGAGCCCCCTCCCCGCCTGGGTTTGCCAGTTCTACTGAGGACCAGCCGTACTGTCTCTAAACTTAACATACAGCAGGACGGCGGCTGTTTCTCTCTCAGACGCGGCTGCGGACGACGACGTAAGCGCTCTCCATGTTTCGTCACTCACGAAAGCGGCTCACCTGAGGAAGTTCTCGAGGTCTTCGCGGCTGCAGGTGGACCAGGACAGGTCGCTGGGGTTCCTGCCCTTCACCCACTCCCCCGACATGATGTGCGAGTGTCCGGTGCAGGTGGCGTGGTCGTCGTCGTGGCTCATGCCCATGCTGAGGGACAGAAGCAGGAGTCACACAGCCCCCCCACTCAATCCTGCCACATGGACGCAATTAGCCCCCCCCCCCCAAACTCACACAAACCAGCTGCAGAGGTCACATGACCCACTACACACAACACGAGGAGGGAATGTAAAAAGGATTAAACACGGCGGCGGGGAAAGGACAGACCAGCGAGTGACTCTGGGTAATTATGGCACAAATCTTCCAAAGCCACAACCTACATTCCAGAACAGCAACTTCAGAAAGGAGGATCTGGAGTTAGAAGGCAGAGCGACGGTTCCCAGGTTACAGCAGGGAAAGGGGGGGCAGGGGGTTTGGAGGAGGGCCCACCGAAGATCCCAATACGTCAGGCCCATCCCACGATGCAGAACAGAACAGGTATAGGCCAAAGCTTCTGCAAGGCCCAGATGGAAAGCGCAGCACAGCAGAACCACGCTTCCATGATGTACCATGCTGAACATTCACACGACCCCGCTACGAAATTAGGGTGTATGGTTCAGCGGGTTAGGACGCTGTGTCTAATCTGAAGGTTGCTGGTTCGAAGCCTAGTGTCCACACAGTAATTTTGCTGTTGGGTCCCTGAGCAAGGCTCTTAACCCCGGGGAATAGCTGACCCAGTTTTCTCAGTTGTACATCACTTTTGATAAAAAATATCAGCTAAAGAAATACAATATAAATTAAACCAGCGATGTGAAGTAGCGCATTAAATACGCTACGCACGTGTGAGGTATATCGCAGAACAATTTTTATTTAACTTACATTTTAGTCTGCAGAGACCTAGGACAGGGGTGTCAAACTGCAGTCTGGGGGGGGGGCACAGCCTTGTGTAGCTCAGTTCTTTCCCTGTTCCACTACAAATGATTCAGCTCAGCAGCTATGTGGTAATTAGCGCAAGACATTGAATCAGGTGTGTTAAATGAGGGGAAACCCAAAAATGTGCAGGGTTCCGGCCCCCCAGGACTGGAGTCGGACACCTGTGACCTAGGAGACCCGCATGTGTGGCGCCCTCCTCAGGCTAATCCCACTCCGGCACATCATTCTGCGGCAGCATCCACTGGGTCCGCGTGACGTTTGCCTGGCTTGGCACCCATGAGCACTGGTGTCTTTTTCCAAATTATTGTTTCAATTAAACCGCCTACGTGTCAATCCATCAGCTGCCTTTGCAAGGAGCCGGTTCAGAGCAGAAGGATTAAAAAGTGGAGGTGAGGCTTCCATTGATTCCAGGCTGTAAGAAGTTCAAAGCTCACACATCAAAAGCCGTTAAACGAAAGATCTAAAACAACACAGTGGGAAGCAAAGACATCCGTCTGGGTCCTTTCAGACGACCACCCACCAGGGCAGGGCTGTCAAATACACTGCCTGATGAAGCCTATGCACTCATGCCATCTTTATTATTTAATTAGCTACCATTTTGGTATGACACATCAATAATAATTTTTTAATTGTACATTTAAAGACAGTAGTTAATTCTTATGTTCAGGAAGTACCACATTTTAGTGGAAATGTATCAGTGTAAGTAGAAAAAGTAACAAACTAGTTAGTGGATCGGTTAGTTTGGAGGAAAGAGAGGGCAGGAACATGAAGCCAGGCAGCTTGTTAAAAACAGAATTACTATCCAGGCACCCAGTCCCTGGCCAACAAGCAGCAGAGCAGGGAGACAGAGAAGCCCCCACCCTGTCAGTAAACAAACACTCATGTCCTTCACAAATCCATGCTGACATCAGCCTGGCTCTTATCTTCTTTAGTACGGACTCACTCAGTGAGAGTTCTTGGGAGTAGTCATTAATATTTGTAATATGTGCACCATAATCCAAACATTAAAGGCCATAAGAGAAATATTAAATATAAAAGAAGCTTTAAAAAGTCATGACTGTAATTATTTGTTCCCTTTGCTGTAGAAAACCCAGTTATGTGCGTGAAAATTATCTCGGCAAGCCACAGACGAGGAGCAGCCTGTTTCTCGGGGTAACAACAGCGGTTCTGCTCCTGCGAGGTAACCCCAGTCTTTGAAGTTCCTTGTTTAGGTAGGAAATTTCAAGAAAAGCTCTCCACAGTGAAGGATGGGATGCATCAGAGCAGATCGGGGCCAGAGGAGAAGCAGAGACTGGGAGTCGAGCCTCCGCAATTACCAGGAAATGGAAATGCAGAGGACAAGGTGCCCACCCCCCCCGAGCCGAGGATGGCAGGGAGGGCCGCGGGACAGCCGCATTGGGAGGATGAGCGCATCTGTCAGCACCACACAGGAGTCTGCAGAAAGGTCGGGGGGTATGGAGGGGGCCATTACTCTGAGTAACCCCCCCACAGGGGTTTACAGCAAAGCCACGGAGGCATCAGCTAGAGACCAGACCAAACTGAAAAATTCATGTCTTACTATCAAATGGTGTCTGTTGTGTAAACCGAACACTAACAACACCAACACCACAAACTCAGTGCGGGGGTGGGGGATCTCACACTGGGAAATTCTCTCCTCAACTGGAAGGTGGAAGCTTTCATAAGCAGGATGACAAAGGATATGCGGTTCACACATCTCCCCAAATCACCACGCGGAGTGACAGCGCAGAGCAGGACGGCTGAAAAACCCTGAGGACGTCCTAAAATGACCCCCCCCCCCCATGGGGAGAATTCCTCAAATGAAGAGGGGTCGTGCTCTGCCTTAAACTTTGAGGAAAGGAGACGGGCATCAGCACACAATCTCACACCCTCATGATCGCCGGGGTGTGGAGATTAAAGGCAAGCGGGTCACGCTTGCTGGAGAAGTGCTTATAGAAACGATGACAAAATGTTCTGCGTCTGAGATGCTGGAGTCATCAGGAATGAAGATGGCTGCCCTGCGTCACGCCACAAATCCATGGACCCCCCCCCCACGCTGCGTTACAGTACAGCAGGTCATTTAAATACTTAGCAGATGCTTTTATCCTAAACAACGTACAATTAAGAAAGCAGCGCCGGTCCTGCGACCAACTGAGTTTAAGACTCCAACAGTTAAACAGAACTTGGACCAACAACCTTTCTGTTCTAAGGCAAGGCCTCCTAAATGAATGAGCCACACACAGTCCCAGATAACACACTCAGCACCTCACATGCTAAAATTAACTGCCAAGAGGCTCTTGGGTTTCCCCTGTACGGCGGTTTTATGGAGTGAAGCTTTACGAAGCGCCTTTATGGTGCCACATGTGATCCATGCGGCGCTGGGTTTATGACCTCACCCTCTGCGAAACGCTCCCGGCCAGCCTCACGCACAGCTCTATTCAAACGTGACACTGGCTGATTAAGTTACGCCGGGCGACCGGGGATCACGTGCGGCCCAGTGCCAGCGCCCGCCCCCAACAGCGCCCGACTGCAGCCTTCCCAGTCTCCCTTGGAGTCAGCCTCCTATTATCCGTCGCATAATAAAGTTTGCCTGCGTTACATGCAGGTCATGCTAATGAGATACCGCAAGAGGTTTTAAAGTGGAGCTGTTTAACAAATTACAGCTAATTCTGTAAACACTTTCATAGCCCACCAGTGAAAAACACCGACTTACAGCCAGAAGGCCAAACGCTGAATTTAAGAAACCGTGGAATTAAACCACTTAAATGAAGCCCGTGACGTACAGAGACACTGGCTGCCAGGGCCAAAGGCTGCCTGCACCCCAGGCGTGCAGCTTCGGTGGCGGTGCAGCTGATCCAGGCCGGGTTAGCGGTGGCTAATGGCGGGAGCGCTAAGGCGCTCGTCTCGAAAAAGGCTCTTTTTTTCCCCCCAAACGGTCAATAAAATCAGCCGCGTGTCACATTTCAAAGCGTCGCGTCATGTGAGAAGCAGGTATTCCTTTTCTGCGGTACGGTATAAAAAATGGAAAAACAGGACAAGCAGACCAGCTATGTCGGAGAGGGGAGGGTCTCGGCGGGGAGCGGGATTGAGAGGAACAGCTTTCCAGGGGAAGTCGGGTCGCGGGGATTTCGCTTAATGGAGTGACCTTTGCACCAGCTGAGCAGTAGAAAGCGTCGACATGAGAAGGATGACATGGCATCTTCCAAGATACTCCTCGGGTCCCAAACCTGGCAATCCGAGACCCCCCCCAGAAACTTACAGTCACCATTCCCAGCCAGCTCACACTGAAGCCTTTGTCTGTGGGAGCAATCAGAGTTAAACAGGATTAAAGCGTCTGGGAGTTCCCAAGAACCACTCAAATGGGGGGGGGGCTTCAGGGAGATGTAAAAGTTCTGCCCTCCAAACAAAGTGACCCCGATGCATTTCAGGCGACAGCTGCCGTTTAAGATACACTGGCGAATTTTAAGGAAACCCAGCCAACTGCTAAAAAACTGAATCATTTGACCTCCTGACCTTGACCTCTGGGGTCAGCAGAGGGGGGACTGGGCACGAGAGAGTGGGGGGGGGGGCACCTTCTGACCAAAGAGCTTTAGGGTAGTACTGTAACAAGCCAAAGAATCTAACTAGGCTTATAATGATGCTTTTTCTCAGTCACCAAGAACCGCAAACAGACCACTTCCCATTGTATAGCATCAAACTGTAACTTAACTGCGTTTAAACTGAGCTGGTTGTGTTACCACCATCTAATTGATTGAAATCCACAAATACTGATGTTCTGCACATGGATTATCTGAAGGAAAAAAGGACATATTCTATATATTGTTATTATTATTATTATTAGTAGTAGTAGTAGTAGTAGTAGTAGTAGTAGTAGTAGTATCTCACATCACACATAAAAAGCAGTAGAGAACAGCTGAACAGAATGGATTCGTAATGCAAATTTACAAAAGCGAATGCTAATTCGACTAGCCTTGGATGCTAATATAACATGGCGAGTCTTTTAGACTTACTGGTGGACATTAGCACACAGTAAATCATGATGTACACTGTGTGAACAGTAAATAAGTGTCTCTTCGGTTTTACATCACTGTCGCTCGCCAAACCCGCCTTTACGTAGTCGACCGTTCTGCAGTGGAAAACCCAAAGCGCGCTGGAACCGTACTGTGACTAGTCGCGGCTCGGTTCCGGTATGCCAGCGGAGAAGCAGCGTAAGCGACTAGAGAGAACAGAAATACCGAAGTGTGTGAAAACGGCACGGCGGCTCTTACTTGTGGCCGAGCTCGTGGGCGATGGTGAAGGCCAGATTCAGACCGTTATCCTCTGCCAGCACGCACTTCCTCTTGGCACTGCAGGCCCCGCCCAGATAGGCGATTCCTGTGGGGGGGTAAATGTGAATTGGAAGGGCACCACCGCAGCCGGGTCCACACTGGCCTTCCTGCAAGCCCATAAAGGATAGAAGGCTGTGACCTCATTGGTTTTTACCCTCCTCCACCCCAGATGATATTCAGTTTTTTAAAAACATCACTTTGCACGTGCCGTGAAGAGAATGACGCACAACACGTATTTAAAAAGTGAGAAACATCTGGTTGGAATCAGCTAACGCTTGCAGACGAGGGTTTTTCTTTAATTTTTGTTTGGGTATTTAGAAACGCTCAAACCAGAAACAAAGGAAAAGCGTACACACACACACACACACACACACACACACACAACTTAATGAGCACCAGCACCTTCCGGGGCTCTGACCTCACCCACGCAGGGGGTCACTCTGCACCGGCAGAGGATCCCTACAGGGCCAGAGGGGACGCGTCCCACTGGACGCAGAGCTGATGTCATGATGGTCGGCAGAGTCTGAATCCGCAGAGGAAGGCTTAGCAGAAGACTTCCCTCAAAAGCGGCCCCGCAAATTAACCAGACCATTTCATCATGAACCTCTCTATTTGCCGAGCCCCTCAAGAATCAAGACAACCAATAAAGGAAAAAAGCAGGAGAAATCCTCCAGGCGCCACACGGGCAAACTGAACAAACAGGAGGCGATTCTGAGCCATCTAGGGTCTAATAACTCAGCTCCTGTGCAGAGCTCCACAGAGACAGCGGCACATCCCAGGAGCTTACACTAGTCGGCTTAAAACCCCGCACACTCGCCCCGAAGAGCAACTTACCCAGCAAGAAACCTGAAGTGAAATATACTGCCTCTACTCACCATTATTATTATTATTATTATTCATACAACATTTTTCAGTTAGTCTCTTGGCTCTCCGTAATCCTGTCCTAAATCATAATTCAGAGCAGCTTACTGTGACGTCATACTCAGCCATGAATTATCGAGCCGTTTTGTACAGCTTATCTTGATAAGGAGACGTCAGCAAACTTTTTCAGCCCTTGTTTTGTTACTCTGTTCTTCACCCCTGTAAGGCAGGGATGGGGGGGGCCGGAGTGGGTGGGGGGGGCACTAAGCGAGATGCCTGGCCCACTCAGCATCCTGGGCCCAAATGCTAATATAAAAACATTTCTGCTACTTCTCGCTGCCGGCAAAAATCTTCAGCGTGAACATAATCCGGGGTCCTGAAAATAATCTGGGAAGAACAAAGAGTCACAAGAGAGCAACTCTCACCCTGGACTTACACAGGAAGTGTGAGAGGTGTGACTCAATGCCTCCCAGAGAATAAATTGCAATAAAAAATTTAAAAATGCCAAATGGAAGTCATAGCTTGAGACCTCCGTGGCAGCAGGAGGCGCTGGTGAGCTGAGTGGGAAACCCAGGCGTTGAGTTGCTACATCCACGGCCCTGTTTTTGTAGCCTCCCACAAAGACAAACAGCAATATGGCAATGCAAATACCCCCGATCCCCACCCTAGATCAAAGGTGGCAAGAAAACACAAAGCCCCCCCTGCCCGAGATCCACCAACACCGGGCCTCGGGCTCCCGGAGCAGACCATCGTCGCAGAAGAGGGGGAGCCACGATGACGTCATACATTGCAGGCATGGCTATGGTTTGGGGGGCTGCAACAAGGTCAGTGGCAGCACAGCCAGAGCTGGGTGTGGGGGGGTGCTCAGGTTTAACAGCCGCAAGGTGGGGGCACACAGCCCCCACCCCGATTTCTCTGGGTTTAATGAGTGGCTCTCACTGAGCTTCCCTGGCCTGCAGACTACCCCCCTTCCCCCTACTTGGCAAATCACAAATATCCACTCTCCCCCCCCCCCAAAATGACCCTGCTGAGGTCTACAATAAACTAACAGGTAGCCACACTTCTGCTAATTAACACAGAGAGAACGGGATTCTGGTCCAGAGGGGTCTACTGGCCATGAAGTGATTCTGCTGAGTGTTCAGCAAAGAACACAGGGCTGTTATAGCTGACGTGGTCTTGGGGGCAGGTACATGGCAGACCCCACTCGTCTTGGGGGCAGGTACATGGCAGACCCCACTCGTCGGGGGCAGTAACATGGCAGACCCCACTCGTCGGGGGCAGGTACATGGCAGACCCCACTCGTCGGGGGCAGGTACATGGCAGACCCCACTCGTCGGGGGCAGGTACATGGCAGACCCCACTCGTCGGGGGCAG